ATTTCTTTTTTTTGGCAGTACTAGGGTTTGAACTCAGGGCCTCATGCTTGATAAGCCAGCACTCTACCGCTTTAGCCACTCTGCCAGCCCAATTTTGAGTAGCTGTGATCAAAATGCCCATGAGAACAACTTACAGATGGAAAATTAATTTTGACTCACAGCTCCAGGGGGTTCAGTGCATGGTTGCGTGGCCTGTATGCTTGGGAAGAACATAATGGTGGCAAAGCAGGTGGAGAAGGAGAGTCAGACAAGAAGAGAGAAAAGAAAGGGACCTGGGACCTTCCGAGGCACACCTCCAGTGACTCACTTCCTCCAGCTTGGTCCCACCTCCTGAAGTTTCCAGAATCTCCCAAAATAGTGCCATTGGCTGGGAACCAAGCACTCAACACAGGACATTGTTGGGGGGATATTTCAAATTCAAACCATTACAGGTTGGGCCTCAGAAGTATATTTAATATATAAGATATAGTTGGAAGGGGGGAAGGAATAGAATACTGTCAAGGTATTAGCAATTAAACAACATTCAATGATACAGCAGTTCTTGTGCTTCCCCATTTAAGATGTGTGGATTCAAATAGTCAGAGTTGATTCTGCCAACCAGCAGTAACAAAGACCCTTGTCTCACTGTTCAGCTGAGCAAGGTGGACCCAAGCATGTTGCTTCCTGGCAGCAGTGGAGGCTGGAGAGGGAAGCAGGTGTGCATATACAAGAAACCTGGGGACTCAGGCTCCACGCTCGCTCCCAGAGGTAAGCCCACCACAAGAGACCTGTAAGTGCAGCAAACTCTTCAGCATTTTTCACACATTGATGTGAACCTTATTATTCTCATCCAAAATAAGCAGTGCACTTGGGAATGTATGTTTTTATTGAGGCAGGATAAAAAACAGGAATTTCTAGAAGGAGAGGAAAGGATTGGCTCAGATGGCCCCACTTGGGCCAGTAGAGGGATGGGGAGGCAAGGAGAATTAAGTGTCTGAAGAGGCCCAGATGGGCTGAAAGCAGAGAGACAACTTTTGCTGAAGTTCTGATGGCAGATGTTATGATACCAAGAATCACTTTCACAGGTGACTGAGGCTTGAATCCAGCTGGGAACAGCTACACAGCTGGGTGTGCCATCATTCTGTTCCCCTCTCCATTTGCTGCTCGTCCAAGCTGGTTTCTCAATTTACTTCTCCTCCTCAATTCGTACTTCAATCTTATTGTAGGAAGAGATGAGGGAAGGAAGAAAGTATAGGCATTCCTGTCACTCCTTACTGTCCCTACTCATATTCGTCTTGCCCCTTTTACTGTAAATGCACGTTAGCCTATACTTCATGCAACTTTCCCCAGTCACTAAGGTCTTTTGGAAAACAGAACACTCAAATGTCAAGGGACTATCATAGCTGTCTTTTTCTTTTTCCTTCTTTCTTTGTTGCTGATGAAATAAAGTAGGTTAAATATCATGTCACCTCATAGATCATAAATTCAAGAAGGGCAGGTATTATGTCCCTTGCCCAACACTTGTGTCTATGTGAGGCACAAGTTGGATGGGAATCACCTGGTTCCTCCCCTTCCCATAGGTTATTGTAGATTTTAAAAGTATGTGAGGGGAAAAAAGCATGCTTTCTCTGCCATCAGACTCCACCTGCCCCCACCATGCTCCCTTTTGTATTCCCCTTCCCTTTATAAAACTTTTCTACCTCACCACACCCACATGTTCTGCTTGGATTCTTCCACACCAGAGCGGAAGAAACTTCCGCTGAGAATCTTCTGTGAATATCCTCAGGTACATAGGACCAGTGTCTTGTGCAGAGTGGGTACTCAGTAAATAATAAATCAGAAATGTGTGAATGAATAAGGAGCAGTATAGATCCCTTAGGAAGACTCCTGGGATGTTCTGATGATTTTAGAGGGTGAAGGCCCAAGTGGTTATTAAGTCCAATTTCCCACAAAAACGTCTTAGTTCATTTTTTTTTGTTGCTACAACAAAGTACCTGAGCACCATAGAAATTATAAAGACTCTAGTTCATTTGGCTCATAGATCTGGAGGCTGGGATGGCCAAGAACAAAGCATGGTGCTAGCATCTGCTTGATGTCTAGTGAGGGCTTTCTGCTGCATCACAACAGGACAGAGGTCATTGCATGGAGAGTCAGAACAAGTGTGCTAGCTTGGGTCTCTCTTCCTTCTCTTATAAAGCCACTAATGGCATCATGGGGACCCTACCCTCATGACTTCATGTAGTCCTAACTATCTCCCAGCCAGAAGCCCTCCCTGCAAATTCCATTAACGTATGAATTTGGAGAGTAAGTTTTCAATACATGAACTTTTAGGGAACACATTCAAACTATATGTGATAGTCAGCTTTCTATTACTGTAACAAAATACTTAAAATAATCAACTTCAGATGACAGGTTTGTTTTGACTCACAGTTTTGGAGGTTCCAGGCCATGGTCAGGTAGCCCCATTCCCTTTGGGCCTGTAGTGGCCAGTCATGGCAGGAGAGTGTGACAGAGGAAGCCTGTTCGCCTTATAGCCTTGGATAAAAGAGAGAAAGACAAAGAAACTGGGGTTCCACTATCCTCTTTGAAGGCATATCCTTCATGACCTAAAATCTTCCAGTAAAACCCACCCTCTAAAGGTTCCACCACTTCACAACAGCACCAAGCTAAGGATCAAGCCTTTAACACATGGGCCTTGGGGGCACTGCAGACCCAGACCATAGCACCATGACAGCTTTCCACCAGAAAGACTCTCAAGCTTAGTCATTTCAGAGCCATGGTGAAATGGAACTCATGGCCACAGTATTTTGCCAACATCTCTATTTTCCCACATCTTAAACTATACTTGCCTTGTGGCTTGTTTTAATTAATAAAATATGGCAGAAGTGATATTCAGTTGGTCCCAGAGCCTGGGCCTTACAGAGTCCTTATAGATAACACCAGGCTAGATAAGAAAATGATGAGGGAATGGGAAGAGACAGAAAAGAGATCCTAGGCCAGGTACCATTGTTGCCAGAGAAAAGGAAGAATATTTGCAAGTAGATTCAGGTAGATTGGTAGATAACAGTGGTCAATGGGAGGGCTCTTCTGATTATTTATTCAGAATTAGTAGGCAGGCACCAAGAGTGTGTGGGAGTTTGGAGAAGAAAGAAGGTGTGAAGAACTGTCCAAGTGAGTGGTGAGTAATTTGGCCAGGGAAATGGAGCATACTTGCTCAGCAGCAGCAAAGATTTATTTAATGTCTACGATCATACAGTGAGTAACATTAGCATACTGGTTTGTTTTTCTTGACATATTCACTTGCTCAAGAGCAGATCCAGGAGAAGTGGGAAGTTGGTTTTCATCAGGGTAGGAGGAAGAAGGGAAGGAGAGCCAAGGAAGTTGAGAATAAGTACAAGAGTGGCTATGTGATGGAATTCATGCTGGGAAAACAGCAAAGTGTGATTAAGGGAAGAGGGATATTTTAAAAAGGTGAAGAATCTGTTGAAGGCAAGGAATTATTGGCAGTAGGAGGTGTGAACTGGAATGACAGGAGGTAGTAAAAGGGGCTGCTTAAATTGACACTATGGAGGACACACACTATGGGGACAGGTGGCTGTGTTTGTCAGCTTCCTGTTATTGTAACAAACACCCTAGACAATCAGCTTATGAAGAGGAAAGGTTTATCTTGGCTCACTGTTTCAGAGGTTTCAGTCCATGGTTGCTTGACATCATGTCTTTGGGCCTGTGGTAAGTACATCATGGTGAGAGCACATGGAGGAGGAGGTGCTCACCTCAAGGCCAGGGAGTGAAAGACAGGGAGGAGAGGCTGGGGTCCTTATTTCCCCTTCAAGGGTACATCCCCAATGACCTACCTTACTTCCACTAGGTTCCCCCTCCTAAAAGTTCCACTACCTCCCAACAGTACCACAAGCTAAGAACCAAGTCTTCAACACATAATCCTTTTGGGGACACTTATTCAGACTCTTGGAGTGGCAGAGCTGGGTGTAAGAAAAGGTGAGAAATGGAGAGGCAGCATTTCAGGAATCATTTGCATAGATACTGAATCACCATTAATTATGAATGGAGCCACTGTATTCCTGCCTATCATCTCTGCCAGACCATTGCGAGCGACCCTAACTATCACAGTTTGGAATATTCCAGTGATTATATGACAGTAACGAAGGTGTACAGTCTGTTTTCGTTATTCACTGACATGTAATTGGCATTGATCTGCGTATGGTGTTGCAGGAATCTCAAACTGAGATATGGGACACTCAGGCAGATTAGCAGGAAGCAACGTTTATTGTGCCGACACAGACCCAGCAGGCCTGTGTCCAAAGGCTGAGCCCCGAGAACAAAGGGGTCTCACCTTACATACCCTTGCAAGCAGGTTGCAGAAGAAAAGCTAAGCTCAGCCCACTTGTGGCTGCATGTGACTTCGTTGGCTATTTTATTTCCTCAATGCTATGTGACCTTCATGCTTCAATTCTTTAAGTTTTATCTCTCTGCTTTGCCACCCCTCCCCCTCATCTTCAGAACACAGCCTGTTTCTTTTCTGGCCTCCTCCCTGCTACATGGTGAATCAAGTCTATAATTCCTGCGCTCAGCAGGTGGGAACCGGAGGATCACAGGTAGCCTAGGAGAGCAAGACCCTGACTCAAAACAACAAAACCATAAGGAACAAATATTCTAAATGTAGTATAGAGGAATTTTAAATGCAGCAAATTGAAGGCCAAATAACTCTGCAGAGGATCCACGGCATGAGCAAGCAAAAGTCCAACCGGGTGGGGGGTTGCTGTACTCCTCAGTGGTTTTCCAAGGCCTAGAGCAGTGTCTGACACATATAAGATGCTCCTTGAGTGTTGATCAAGAGCAGGAATGAAAGCAGGAACGATCGCGCCCCCGCCAGAACCACGCCTGCGCTACCGCCCGACTCAGGCCAGCGCAGAAAGTCAGTGCCCGTGCGACGTCTCCCGGCAGGCTTCGCGGCCGTGCATTTGAGCTCCTTGGGCTCCCGTAGACGCTGGCTGTGCGGCGTCCCAGCGTCCTTCGCGGCGCTCCCACGCCGACGCGGCCAGCTCTTGCGGGGCTCTAGAAGGGGTGGCCTGGCCCTCCGTGTCAGGGACCGACTGAGGTGATGGCGGCTCAGAAGATAAACGAAGGGCTGGAACACATGGCCAAAGCAGAGAAGTAGTGAGTGAGGGCCGCGAGCGGGACCCTGTGCGCGCGCTCGTCAACGCCGGCGGGGAGGGAGCCGCCGCAGTGTCCGGCCGCGCAGCCTGCACTGCGGACCTCGAGGCTCCCGCTGGGACCCGCGTCGTTCCCGCAGCCCGAAGGGCTCGCGGAACGGGGCAGGGCGGGGCCGTCCTGCGCATTGCGGAGCAGACGGCGCATCCTGGGTTTCAGCCTAAGTGCCATCCGACCTCCTTCCTGCACCCGAGAGTGTCAACCAGACCTGTCCCTGCAGGGTAGATTCTTCCGTCGGGACAGCTGTTGCTGTGTGTGCAGGGGACCTGCCCACATGCTGCTCCCGGGCAGGAGCTGTGCGTCCTGAGGTCTCGGTGTGTTCTGTGCCTTGTCTGGCTGAGCAGGCAGGAAGCGCCCGTGGTGTTCCTGGAACCCTGAGATTCTCCTTCATCCCTCCGTCCCCTCTTTAACCCTCTTTACTTCTAGGGCTTGTTTATGTAGCAGTTACGGATAACTGGGAGTCTACGTTGTGCTAGTAGGTGCTTCACGTGCACAGTTGATGGGGAATGATCTGGATCTTTCCATGCATAACTCATTGAACAGTTGAATCTTGGTATAATCAAGACTGTATCTTGTTTTTGCTGGGTCGTAAATAATTATGTTAATATACAGAATGTAATGAGTTCTTTGAAGGTTAGAATTGTGGATTGCGTGCAATTTAAGGATTTAATTTTTTTGAGTAATGAAATTCTTGGCAAGCACAAAAATTGCTTATAGATTTGAATCTTGTTATAGTATATACACAGACAAATGTTAAGTTCATTTAATAGACAAAAAAATGTTACTTCCAAGTGAGATTCTCTGAGCAGTTGATGTACCTGTCTCAAAATGAAAGGTGTACTTCTGAGGGCTCTCGTTTAAGTTGCTCCCCTGAGTTATATATGTTGTATGTAAGCAGGCTTTCAGTAATTGAAGTTTACAGTTTAAGATGTTACTCAGCAATTCTTATGCATACCAAAGTTTGACAGACACTGAATTAGTTTGAACCATAAATCTAAATTATCGTAAAATAAAACCATAAAATATTGCAAAAAAGGGCAAGATAAAGACTCAGCGCTGATTGTCCTTTGACTTGGCTTCTAAAGCCACTGTCATTCCTGGAAGACAGTTTCTCTTTGTTGCCATAATTTCCCTCTCTTTCTGGTTATGCGTCTTCTTCATTGGCAGTTGATAACCAGCCTTTTGATTGCCTCCTTGTGTTCCTCTGAATGTGATATTCCTTAAACTTTCTACCCTCTCTCTGCAGTTTCCCTAGAGTATCCTACCTGTGTCCTTGGTATAGCCTAAGCTGATGGTTCCTCAGTTTATCTGTACTCTACATGATAGAGTGTCCTCTGCCAGGGACACTGTGCTTCCAGGTTCTCAAGTTTGAGTACAACTCAGGACTTATTAAACCACGGATTGCTGCACCCACTCCTAGAGTTTCTGGTTCTGTAGGTCTGGGGTGGAGTGAGCAATGTACATTTCTAGCAAGTTTCCAGGTAATGCTGATGTTTCTGGTCCGGGGAGCATGCATCGAGAACCTCTGTCCTATTTGGATGTTACGTAGACATTTCAAAAGGAAGAAAACCACATCCATGACAGTGGGAGGGGAAGAGGTAACGTTGCATTGGTTGTGAATAAATCTAGATGGAGGAGGGCAGGGTGGGGGATTTGTACCCATTGGCTTTCTTTTGAAAAATTCTTTGTTAATGACCTGCAGGTCATTTCAAGCAGGGTTCTAACTTATAAATGTAGTTGTAACTTCTGTTAAATGTATCTTTCTTTCATTCTAGCCTGAAGACTGGTTTTTTGAAATGGAAGCCAGATTATGACAGTGCTGCTTCTGAATATGGAAAAGCAGGTACTTGTGACTGTAGTGCTGACGCTGCAATGTATTATGTTCAAATAATCTGCTAACTTTTTCTCAGAGTAATACTTAATATTTTTTAAAAAGCAGAACAGCTGCACATGTTCTTGCATTTTTTCCGGCTTGTTTTTTTCAGATGTTCTGGGCTCTGAGTCAGAGATCCTGGTTCCTATCTTTCTTGACAGCAGATGGGTAGTGTTCGTTGGTACACAGCTGCAGGTTTTTAGCATTGTTATGTGTTCTGCAACTTCAGTTATTTGTATATAGTACTGTGTCAATAAAGTTTTGCTATATTCCTCTGTTACACTTCTTATTAAATAGTTTTAAGTTAGTGTTTTTGGGTTTATTTGTTTTTGCTTAGCCTCATTGTAAGCAGACCTGCAAATCGTGTTTTGTCATATTGTTTTTATTTGAGCCTCTCTTTCAATTAAATGTTCATGAAATGTTAAGTTATGTACATATTTTAATAGGTTTATCTATACATATGATATGAAAAGTCTGAAATATGCAACAGAAAGGAAATTATTTGCTAAAAGCTTGGCATGTTTATTTTGGAATGACATGATAGTTTTCAGCATATGTGTTATTGTTTGGGTCTGAGTAAACCATAACATAATTTTGAGTACCTGAGTTCATTACAGTTATAATAGCTCTGATCACATTTGTGAGCCTAGCCTAGAGATCATCTGGGCAAGCACTTTTAGTTTATCACCAAAAAAAAAAAAAAAAATCAGGTACATTGAAATTAACATGTTTAGCATACATAGGCTTTATTTTCTGTATGGAAGAAAGGACAACAATGAGTCTTTAGCACTTTTAGTTAAATGTTAAGTAAACTTTGCCTCTTATGTTATGCAAATTGTTCATATCTCATGTTTAAAAATAGAATTATTAACAATTCCAACTTTATATGGATTTTGTGGACACTTTACACATGGAAGATTTTGTAACTGGAAGTACAGTATTTTGCAAGACTTATCTATGAGGGAAGTTTTAAAAAAATTGTTTTATATGCCTTTGATACTGTGCACTGCTTTCAAAAAAAATATTCTAGTCAGGTTTTTCCATTAAAGCCACACATTGTTTATTTTAAGGTTTATGTAAAATATATTTAATCAGTAGAATTAAGTTTTTTCAAAACAAAATAGGGAAAAACAGGAAAGGGAATACTTTTAGTTTTGTTTGTTTTGAACATTTTCTTAAAGAAAATTTTACGGGTGTTTTTAAGAAAAACACTTGATAAATACCATTTTTTCTAAATCAGTATGCTTTTACTTCTATGTAAGCAACCCTTGGTAATTTTCCAGAATTTGTAAGAGCATTTTTTAGGGCCACTCCAATTTGTTTGCTCTGAGGAATACCTTTCTAAAATATTTGGCACTATGCTTTAGCTCTTTGAGAGTATAGATAACTAAACAGTATAAACACTTTTTTTTAAAAAGGATACATTGTTAGACAGTTATTTAAAGATTGTGCTGAAAGGGAAGTTTTATTATAAAACTAATGTGTTGATCTTCAGAGAACCTGTCTGTCATTAGGGGTATCTGGGAGTATTGGTGTTAGAAGGAATTATTAGTTTTCAGTGGAAAACTGAAATTTCAGCACTAAAATGTTGCCAGTAGTTGGCAATTATATATATATATGTATATATATATATATTTTTTTTAAATACTTCAAAAGTATTTATAACCAGAAAGATTGTGAGGAAATTGCTTTAGGAAAAGTATTTTATGTTTTTATGAAAACTTCCTATTTGATTGAGATCAGTATATTTTGTAATACTTCATTTAAAATGCAGATTTGGTAGTGATTCATTTGAGGTTTTATAATGGTGGAAATAGAAAGTCTTTTTTTTTTTATGTTTCAGCTGTTGCTTTTAAAAATGCCAAACAGTTTGAGCAAGCAAAAGATGCCTGCCTGCGGGAAGCTGTTGCCCATGAAAATAATAGGGCGTATCTTTTCCAGCCTTTGAAAGGAATTAAACAATTAGATGACTTTGACAAACTTGTTTTTTTCTTGTTAATTGAAAGTAAAACACTCTTAAGTTAGAAAACGATTAAAAAAATTGTGCATTTTTATACTCTGAAGGAACATTTACAGTTCTATGTCCACATTGGTTCATAGAATTGCATGTGAGAGTTTATTTTCTCATGCTTGAGGTGAAGGGAGGGAAATCTATGGACATGTGCTGAAGAGGAAGTTTAGACAAAGGTATTGAAACTGCTGTGTATAATTTAAAAATGCAGTCTTCCTTAAGTATCTGAAATAAGAATAAAGTATTTAAAAACAATAAATGTTCCTGAGGTATTTTTAAACTTACCAACTAAAAAAATGTTTATCCTACTTATAAATTGTGGTCATAATAATTACACAAGTTAGCTAAACTCTTCAGATTAATGCATAGTTTAAAATCAGAATTTAATGCATAGTTTAAATCTATTCAGTGTTTTGGTAAATTACACAGGTTTGAGAGACATCAAGGGGCAGGGGGGAGACAGAGCGGGTGGAGGGCAGGGAGAGAAGTGGCCCAGTGTATGCACATGTGAATAAATGAATAAAAAATAAAAAAAAAAGACATCAATAGCCGTTGGATTATTTCTTCTGTACCTGTTTGTAGGATTAATCTTTTAGAACCACTGGACCAGTGATTTAGTTAACTGTCTTTTAAAAGTAAATCTCTAGAAGCTATTGATTTTCTTTTTTCCTTAATTTTGACATTGTTATACCCATTCAGTCTTTTTCATGCTGCCAAGTAAGTAATATTCTCCATGTTTTTATATACTTGTAGATTATGTTTTAAAAGGTTTTTTTATTGGTCAGTAATTTTTTCCCAAGTTATGCATTCATAAATAGTGAATTATTTCATGTTAATTTAAATAGTTATTTTCATTTGCTTCAGTCTTCATCTGAACCTAAAAAATGAAATCACTCCTTACTATAAGGTATGTTTTAAAATTAAATGCTGTGTAATATTTTCAGGACTATTTTGTTCAGTAGTGTGTGAAAAAAAACCCCATTCTTGATCATTAATAAGTGCTTCTAAAACAGAGGCAGATTTTCTCCTGCCTCTATGGAGATTTTTGTTTGTTTAAAAACAGACTTAGGTTTGTCATTTAATCTTTCTGAGCCTTACTTAATTTTGCATCTGCAAAATAAAATCCCTTCAACTTAAATGTCTGATGTTTCTGTGGCATTATTGCCCACAAAAATAAAAAGAATTAAAAATGACCTCAAGCCTAAAGTGACATGTTGTGCCCAAGCCAGTGTTCATTGTAGTCACCTCCCTGACTGGCAGTACCTTCACCAGAAAGTTTCTCCTCTTATTTCATTAAGGTCTCACCAGAGAAATTGTATTCTTTTTGCAGAGCTTATGAGCAAGCTGGCATGATGTTGAAGGTTAGTAATACTGTATCAAAACTGTTGTGTAGGTAAAATGAACTAACAGGGTAACAAAGCAGAATTTATGTTGTAGTTGAAACTTTTCCTTACAGTAAAGCAAGAGATGCTAAGTTAAGATTTCCTGTCCAAGTAACATTGACCTGTTAAAACTAGGGCATGTTGGACATGAAACCTAAGAGCACATGTATTGGAAGGAAGGGGGAAGAGCAAGATGCTAAGCTCTGATCAGGACAGGTGGTAACTGCTAAGAAAGTAAAAGCTGTGTAGGAGGGGTCCGCATTTGAGAACTTAAGGACCTCTTAATGTAGGAAAAATGTATAAGAATATTTTTTAAATTACTTATGGGTTTTAGGAAGAAGGGATTTTTTTGTTTTTTTTGTTTTATTTTTTTAAATTAATGGTTGATGGCAAAGAGGGCCATGGATTTTAGCCATTGCTGTTTACTTGATTATTTTTGAGTGGATTATTTTGACTGATGTGCCACATTTCTGTTTCTTAAAAGATCCTAAATTAGCATCTTTTTGTGGAGAATTAGAACATAATTTTATGACAGTATCTCTCAAAATATGCCGGGGCAGCAGAAATGAAGTTTTTCCTTTCCAGTTTTGTATGTGTTGTCTACCTTGGTAAAAGTTATTTTGGATTATTTAAAGTTCTTAAAGCTTTGTTTTTAAAATTTACACTTTAATAAAGCTTTTGTTTTCTATGACTAAGTATGTTAACTTGCCTTTTTTTGTGTGTGTGTGAATGCATGCTCATTGTAGAACATTTAGAAAATGCTGGAAAGATGAAGGAATGTTAGTAATGGCTGTTAACATGCTTAGTTTAACCCAGAAATTCCAGTTCTGTGTCTCTATCATAAAGAAATAGAGAGTTAGCAAATATCTAGTTCTAAGCATGTTTATTGAAAAAAAAGCCAATCATCTAGATTTTTTAATAAAAGGAGAATGTTTAAATTATGATATTTCCTTATGATATACTGTTCTGTACCCAGTGAAATATGGCTTCTAGCAAAACATGCAACTGAGGTGTTGGTAATGCAAGTTATGCTGTTAACAGCAGTCTCTTAGCAACTAGAATTTCTCTTTAGCCAAAGAGCCAGGGGCCCTATTCTGGCCTTCTATCTGTTGCCCCTGAGAACTCAGAAGCTTCTGAGTGACAAATATAGTCTCAATGCACCTTGTGCCTATCATTAGGATATCCTTGTCTGAATATGACAGTGCTAGAGCACTGTATTCTCAAAACCTCAGTTTGTATCCCACAGCTGTGCTAAGATTTGAGTCTGTCAGAAATTATTATTCAAGCATCATTTCTGTTGCTCAGGTGTCTCTTAGGATGGAAAAGGCACTACTTTGAGGAAAAGCTTAGTGGCTGAGGGAACAAATGAAAGAAATTGCTTTCTGGCATGGGCATCTATTTAAATTAAATGCCTTCAGACAGTCCTGGCAGCATTAGAAGTCCTGAGCTCCATGGTCCACAATTAATTCTGTGGACTGTAACTTCCAGCAGCTTGTCCTATAGACCTCATCCTTCAGCAGATTTAGGGAGTGACAATTTGTAGATGAGGGCCTAAAGAAAGACTCAGGGACTTGTTAGATCTGCCTCTGGTTCCATTATTTTGTGACCATTGTGATTTTATGTCCTGTTAGCTGCACAGGAGCAGTGCAGTTACTTAGGCGCACGGTCACTGAGAATAGGTGTATTTACAGAGAGTGAGATAACATTTAAGTAGGCAGCCCATCATTTTTTATGGAGAAGTTACCAGTACTGTGGTTGGACCTCTGTTATTCACAGGCTCGCTTGATTTGATCAAACCTAGGTTGCAGATAGCACTTCCTTCATACTGCCTTCTAGTATAATTATTGCTGTATATGCCCTGTGTTCTTTTTCTTTTTCTCCTCCAAATGCTTTTATATTATTGATGCTCAGTATATATTTAATAAACGGGTATGTGAATTACAGGAAGAAATATTCTATAAAAGGTCCAAAAGGACCCTCAGGATCAAAGGGGTGAAATGCATCTTATTAGGTTTGTCTCCCTGTTTTTTCAAATACCGTTCAGCCCAAGCATTGGATTCTTCCATTACACTTTGGTTTCTATAACAAAAGTAGTTTTTTGGTTTTTTCCCACTGAGTTTGGGGCTATATCCTGCTTGAATAAATGGCAGCAACTTTATTTTGTGTAGTATCTTACTGTTAGTCTCCATAGTAGTTAACAACAGCAAAAAAATACTATGTTTTGGAGTTGGTAAGAGTGAGACTGGCCATTTGCTAGAGAAAACCTATTGAATTTGTTAACTTAGTGAGGGACTGAATGGGCAGATTTCAAAACAATCCACGACATGTCAATGCAGAGCCCACTTCGAGATACACAAATCAACAAATCAACACAAATAGAATCACCATTGAATTTTGTATCTGACTTCTAAATGATTTTTTTGTCAGTTCTTTTTTTAAAATTTGATTTGGAAGTATTAGAACCACAGGATCCTAAAACAGAGAGTAATAATATGGCACAGAATTTATTTGTTGATTGCAATCATCCTGGAAAAGGTCTCTGAACTCTCCTGAACTCAGGGCACAGGGATGTAACTGAAATGAAAAGGCCTCCTAGGTGTGGAGGGCAGTGGAGAGAAAGGCAAACAGTTGCAGGAGGCAGCATGCCTCCTTACCAGGGACAGCTGCTGCTTAGACCAAGCTCATTATTACTGTTAGTGGAGATATTTTTTGAAAAGGAAACCATAAAACCAAATTTTTTTTGTGTGTGTGAAAGTATGTGATTTAAAAGTAAATACTGTGGGCTGGCAGAATGGCTCAAGTGGTAGAGTGCCTGCCTAGTAAACATGACGCCCTGAATTCAAACTCCACTCCCGCCTAAATAAATAAATAAATACCGTGTGGTTCAGCAAAATGTGCTTGGAAATGAAATACAGCTCTTTAGCTACCAGTTGGAGTCTTTGGGGGTAGGTCTTCTATTTAGTAGGGACTCAGTAAGTGTTAAAAAAATCATAAATACTTAGAAAACTGAAAAGCAAGTTATTTGACTTTTCTTGTGTAATGTCATTGAAAGTCTATAAAGTAGTAACTGTGTAGACATTAAATTGCACATTTCTGGTTGGTTAAATGCATCTTCACATGGGATATTACCATGTGAAGCTATTCCATTTTAAGTAATTTGTTGTTGTATAATGTTTTTGAGTTATTTTCTGTCATGATTAAGGATAAAATGAATTTCTTTTTGTTAACTCTGCACTTCTTAAGTTGGTACATTTTCTGCCCTATGCTGCGTGCTTTGCCTAAAGGAGATGCAGAAACTGCCGGAGGCTGTTCAGCTGATTGAGAAAGCCAGCATGATGTACTTGGAGAATGGCACCCCGGATACAGCAGCCATGGCCTTGGAGCGGGCTGGAAAGTGAGTGTACACAGTTATTGTTGGAAGCACTGGCCCTACAGAAAAGTCATCATGTTTTTTTATGAAGTCCTTTGAAAAACAAGTTTCTCATGTAAGTCCAGTTCTTTCTTCTAATTCAGGCTTATAGAAAATGTCAATCCAGAAAAGGCCGTACAGTTGTATCAACAGACAGCTAATGTATTTGAGGTAAGTTTGAACTTTTTTCTTTACTAGAATGTTAAGATTGATACATAGGAAAATAATGCTATGGCTGCTTTTAAGGCTTTTCCATGCTCATAGTAGAGCTGTGTTCCTTTTTTTTCTATTAGAGAATAATAAAATGGACTAGCACCTTTGGTGCCTCCCATCTACCACTGTTACTTTTTTTATAAAATTATTATTGAGGGTAAGATTTCTATATTAGCACAGCCAGCACTCCCTTTTCTTTGATTCCTTCAGAATGAGGAACGCCTCCGGCAGGCAGTTGAACTACTGGGAAAAGCCTCAAGACTGCTGGTACGAGGACGCAGGTATGGGCTTTCATGACTATTTCTGTGTGTCAGTGTGTGTTTTGACTCTACATGTGGGAATGGTAAATAACTTAAGGCATAGCTTGTTCATCTTTTCATTATAAGCTGTAGACACAACAGGATACCAGTAGAAAAATGGACATATACTAGAAAGTAGGGACATTGAATTAAATACTAAGAGATTTGCTGTTTTTTAACATGTAATACAAAAATTAATCATGCACTGTGCATAAAGGGTAGTTTCCTGATCTGTTATTTGGTTTGTTTATAGTGTTTCACTCTTGAAGAAAAATAGGTGTATTGAGATTAAATGACAAATGTCCTAAATACCCGTTAAAATTGACAGTTTCCTGACAGTCAAACTGTGTTTATTTTTGAATTATCATACATTACTAATGCAAGGGGATTACATTGTTGGTAATTCCATACATGTATGCAGTGTACCTGGAACAAATTCATCCCTTCCATTTGGAGACAAATAATTAAAACTTGTCCTTAGCCCTCCAGTGACAGAAAAGATCCAAGATATATTTTTTCAAAGAATTAAAATAGAAATGACTGGTAAATCTGTCTTTCGGAGATTGTATTAAGTTTTTCTTCATGATTTTCTTCTGATTCTAAAATATAATTCAAACACGTTTAAAGTAACATCAGAATAAATCTATCTAGAATTAATTATTAAAATATCGCTGTTTGGATGTACTACTGTATTTGTAATACCTTTCATTAATTAGATTTTTTTTGTGAGTCTAAAAAGACTTGAAATTTTGTTTTATTCTTAAATTAGGTCTTTTGTGTAAGAACCCAAAGCAAAATTAAATTTATAATCAGTCTTGGATAATTATCTTTATTCTTCCTAATAATCATTGCTTCCCAGAAACTGAACTGACTGAAATGCTGACTCTGGCAGTTTCTTACTTGTGAATGATTCAGTTTAGTGTCTAAACATGTTTCTAACAGAAACAAAGCTATTGCTTAGTGGCAGCCCCAGACTGAGCTGCCCATTGTGCTGTGGGGTGTTCCCTAGGTCTGATTCTTGTGACCTGGGCCCTGCCTATAGAATGGGCATCACAGAGCTAACACTGGCAGACTTTTACCTCCTTTTCTCATCTATCCCCACCTCCTAATAGTCCTGCCACAAGGCTTCTGTCCCCTAAATAAAGCCCCAGGCTCCATCCTGTAGACCCCATTGCAGTGTTTATGTTCCTTTGGAGAGCGCTTTCAGAGGGGCAGTATCCTCATTCTGAAAACAAATGTTGCCAGTTGGTTTTGACATGTGTAACAAAAACTGTTGTAAACCAAGTGCACTATTGAGTTTTTCTCCCAGCATCTGTGGAGTGGGAATTGAATAAGCATGGAGTGGGGATGTGGAGTGGATTTGCTTGACAGGGACCCATTGACAAAGTCAGGACTACCAGTAGGGTCTTCTGCGTATCTCATGATTCTGTTTTATTGGTTTTCTTTTTAGTAAAAATGGATTTAGAAAAATATTTCCTGTAGTATTTGAACAAAAATTAATTTTATGGAATACACTTTTGAATTGTGTAACATAAAAATTTATATAAATTTATTCAGGAATATAAAGAAATTGCAGTATTTTGAAAAGTCTCATACTTGTGGTATGAAAGAATTAAAAATCTTTAATTAAAAATCAGAAGTGCTGTCATGGTACTTCTGTTAGAACTTATGTAGTACAAGATAAGTAAATACAGAAAGAAGAGTTCATACTGACAGATGACTCAATTTCTGTGGTATTTGAATATCTTGAATACATACTGAGATTATAATCTGATTGGAGGCTATCAGAAAGAAAAAACTAAAACAGGTGGTAATTTTTACTTTACATAAGAAACCTCTAACAGTAACAGTCTCCTGCCTTTCCTTCAGTTCTAGAGAAGCATAATTCAGAAGTGTTTCAATTTCCCTCAGGTGGCATCCAAATTCATTCTGGACCAGGGCCCTTAATCTATTTTCGAAAAGCCTTCTCCAGCCAGTTTATCAGGGCCTCAGGCTTACATACTGGTGCTGTTAAGAGAGATTGGAGACAGCTGACAAAACTGGCATATTGTGTGCGGTGTTCACAGTGAACCTAGTTTCCACTCAGCAAAGGAAAGTGCTGCTTTCTCCAGCCAGCTGGGGCAGTCAGTAGGTCCTAAACATAGGAGTGTTGGGTATGGGCTTGTTTGTAGTGGTGTGATAGTACTAAGGGGAATCACTGGGGTTTCTGCCTTGGGGAAAGAACTGCTCTGTCTGTTATGCATTAAAAACTTAAAGAAGCTTATAGAGACAGACTTATCAATGATGATAATACACTTAGTTGGAAATATAACATATAGGCTAAAAAGTTTTAAAGGTGTTCAAAAATACATTTTGGACTTTGGGAAATAGTTGGGCCAAGGAAGTATTTGACTCATTGTGAGGAATTTGTCTGTTGGAAGTTTGGAGTTAAATGAGGTCCTACAACAATTTCCCTCCATGTGCACATAATTTCTGTGGGGTGGACATTTGTTTTGTTCTATTTGGGTCTCTCTTTTTAATTATAAGGAAGAAAAATTTATGTTCTTTTCAGCAAAACCAGATACATTTTGTTAGGAATATTAAGATTACCTGATGGGAAAGTTGGAGTCATCTGTGTTTCATTATAAGTATGAATAATTTTTTGAAACATTTGAAAATAGATGGCTTTGTATGTCAATTCCATGAACTTTTAGCAAAGTTGATCAGCTTTTTAGCCTACAAACTCATATAAATGCACAGTATTTCTCTTGGCTTTTTTTCTAGGTAGTTATAAGCCTATGGAAATGCAATTTTAATGCCAAGAAAATAAATAATTCATGTTGAAGAATGTAGCCTTTATAAGTAAATATATGAAAAGCCCCAATACTGAGATTTCTGTTAGAACGATATAATCTGGACCTTATGTTCATGGAATACGCTGATAGAATTTGTTTTATAACGTGGGATCTATGATAAGCTCATGCGTAAAATTAAAGATGGTACACATGTAGGTCCCCTTGCATTTGTTTGTACAACAAATCATCACAAACTTAGCTTCTTAAAACAATACTCATGAGCCAAATCATCACAAACTTAGCTTCTTAAAACAATACTCATGAGCTGACAGAGTGGCTCAAGTGGTGGAGTGCCTGCCTAGCACCTGTGAGGTCCTGAGTTCAACCCTAGAACCAACAAAACATACAAGCAAACAACAAAGTAGCACTCACTGGTTATCTCACAGTTTCTGTAGATCTGGACACTGAGGGCCAGTTGTAATGGCTCATTCCTGTGATCCCAGCTACCTGACAGAGATTGGAAGGATTACGGTTTGAGGCCAGCCTGGGCAGAAAGTTAGCAAGACCGCCATATCAACAAACAAATCATGCCTGGGTGGTAGGCATCTGTAATTCCAGCTACTGGGAGACATAGATAGGATTGTTGTCTGAGGCCAGCCCTGGGCAAAAATGTGAGCCCTATCCAGAAAATAAAACAAAAAAGGGCTGGAGGCATGGTTCAAGTGGTAAAGCACCTTCTTAGGAAGCATAAGGCCCTGAGTTCAAACTCCAGTACTGCCAGAGAGAGACAGTGTGTGAGAGAAGTCTGGATATTGAGTAGCTAGGTCTATGCTCACTGTCTCACTAGGCTGAAATCTAGGTGCGGGTGGGCTGTAGTCTCCTCTGAGGCTTAGGTCCTTTTCCAGGCTCACTGGTTGTTGACAGAATTCATCTCCTTGCAGCTGAATTCTTTTTTCTTGCTGTGTTTTGCTGTCTGTCATCCAGGTACTACCGAACTTTAGAGGCCACCTTTAGTCCCGTGGCATGTGCCCCCATGGGTAGTTCACAACTTTGATAGCTTGTTACTGATTCTAACTTCAGAATGTCCCCAGGAGTTCACTTTATGTCTCACCTCATGAGGTCAGGGCTTGCAGACAGCCTGTCTGATTCACTTACAGCCACCTGATTAGTATATAGTCACAGGAGTGATGGCCCATGGTATTTAGATGTCCTGCCCACGTGCAAGGGAGATCATATGGGGACTCATATTGTTACATGCCAGTGTGAAATGTTGTGGGCTAGTGTCAAGGGCCCTTGCCTTCACAGGCCAGAAAACTGGCTCGTGAGGCAGCTGATTAACTTGTGAGCCAAAACCGGTACACAAAGTAGGATTTATTAGAGAGAAAGGAAATGCTGCAGCTAGAGCAGTGCAGCAGATCCCAGAGAGTGGTGGCTCCCTGCTCAGGTGAAGGCTGGGGCTTCTTGTGGACGCTTTAACTCTGGGTTAGGGTATTTGTTAGGTGGGTTTTTTTCCCAATGGCTGTGGATTTGCCCACTCGGGCTTTCTTTGATGAGCTGGTCTGTTTACCCCTTATTGGGGGTGGGAGGGGGAACAACCTTGAGAGCATTTTGTTCATCAGCCCCATGGCAGATTTATGAGACCCTGTATCTCCTCCCAGGGTGCAGGAATGCAGATTTATAACTCTTTCTCAGGGTGCAGGGCTCATAGTGCTCTCCATGGGGGATAGGCTACTCACTCATCTGCCTTAGGTATCCAGACCCAACAAGATGAGGAACAAGACTCTTGAGGGCAGTCTTAAAATTCTGCTACCACACTCAACTAAATATAAATGACCTTCTTCCAAAAATTCAGCAAATTCATCTTTGGAAATTCAGAATGCATTGTTCCAGTGAGTTTTACTAAGTTGTCGGCACAAAAATTCAGTTTCACTCATATGTGAGTAAGCAATTAGAACCGCCACCCACCTGTACTATATAAGTCCTCATACATATAAACTACTGTATATGTATACTTTTTTTTTTTTTTGTGATGCTGGAGCCTGAACTCAGGTTCTTCACCTTGAGCCATTCCACCAGACCTTTTTTTTGTGATGGGTATTTTCGAGATAGGGTCTTGTGAACTGAGCTGGTGATCTTTGCCTCCTGAGTAGCTAGGATTACAGGCATGAGCCACCAGAACACGGCTTGTATACATATTTTTAAAAAATAATCAGCATGCATAGAAATAGAACATGCTGTGGTAAAAAACATTGTAGTGTTTTTATCTTGGGTCATAGCACCACCTCTCTCCCTCTGTGTCCTCACAGTACAGCTTTCTACCTTTTCAGGGTTGGGTTGTGTGAACTCCCAATGCCACACCCCTGGAAGTTGCTTCCATGACCTCAGACTTCATGGGGTTAAGAGAAATGGGTAAAACCTGGAAAATTCATCCAGCCATGAGTGAGCTGCTAGGAGGGGAGTCTTGGAACTCAGAGTATAGTCAGATGTTGCAGGGAGATAAGGATCCAGCTAGGGTTTCATGGAATTAGGGCTGAAGGAGTGAGAAAAGAGTGTGGGCTTAGAGGGTTTTGGGGAAAGAGTTGACTGTCCCTCTTTTTTCTCTGTTCTACCATCAGTTAGAATTTAAGGGAAGGAGAATGGTGAGAGTAGATAGATGACTGTTGAAGATCAAAGCTTGTTGGGGCCTACTGAAGCTGCAGTGGGGCATGTGAGGGTTTGCATACCTTGGGGGAGGGGAGAGTGGCCTTGGGCCCCCTTGGAGTCTTTCAGTCAGAAGGAAAATGGTCTGGGGTGATGAAAGCCAGCATTGTCTTTGGTGCATTTTACAAAGCAGTTTTTGAAATTTGTTAAGCATTCATTAATGGGTGATCCTTAACAAACTTAAAATTCCTTTTTTGTGTCAGTTCCTTTGCCTTGTGTGCCAGCTTGATGCCTAGAAGGGGAAATAGGTATTTAGGGCACAAGGCAGATGAGCAGAGCTAATGGAAGTGTGGGTTATGGAGCAGTTGGCAAAAGACCTGTCCTCTTTGTTTTGCCAAAGTACACTACAAGTACCAAGTACACTACAAAGATGACCTCTGCTAAGGAGCATTTATCTGACTTGTTTTACATATCTTTGTTTTGTCTCTAGGTTTGATGAGGCTGCACTATCTATTCAGAAAGAAAAAAATATTTATAAGGAAATTGAGAATTACCCAACTTGTTATAAGGTACTCTTTGGAAACAACCATTTTTAGCTTTACGTTTTCACCTTGATATAAATACCTAAGCAAGAATTCCTTGGATATTTATGTTTCTGTAAAATAATTTTTTTTTTTTTTTTTTTTTTTTGGTTGTACTGGGGCTTAAACTCAGGGCCTTCACCTTGAGCCACTCCATCAGTCCAGTTTTTTGTGATAGGGTTTCAAGAACTATTTCCCCAGGCTGGCTTCAAACTGTGATACTCCTGAGTTGCTAGGATTATAGGTGTGAGCCACCGGTGCCTGGCTATAAAATAATATTTTGTGGGCTTCTGTTTCAATCATGATAGAGAAAGCCATTACGGCCTGTCTGTCTTGAGGGTTACAATCAAAACTACTGAAAAAAAAAAAAGTATAAAAAGCAGCTATTCATGAACTCTGAAAAACAGCTGTTATTTTGGCTTAGGTAGATAAAACTCCAGAGGATCCCTAGTCTGTGGCCAGAAGAACTGGGAAGAGATGGGGGAAAAGGGAGTAGTCCCCTATATATGTGTGACCCACACAGTTCTTGGCTGTGCATGTACAGTTTTGAGAATTGAAATAAGACTTAGACCACTGTTTAAGTTTCACCTGATCTTAAACAGTTCATGTGGCAAAGTCCCAAAGCAGCATAGCAAAGGATTTGAACTAAGAGTAGAACCACCTCCCACCAAAAAGCAAGACATGGTTTTCAGTCTGAGCCTAACAGATGATTGATTGCCTGCTAAAAATATCTACACTGTTACTAGAACTATAGCAGAGTTTATATAGCATAGCATCCACAAACATCCAGGACTCAGTCTAGAATTACTCATCACACAAACCCAGGCCCATGCTCAGGAGAAAAGATAACTGGTGTCAACCCTTATTGACCCAGGGGTTGGAATTATCACTTCAAAGTCAAAAGGCTTTGAAGTAGTTATTGTAACTGGTCCGTGAGGTAAAGTGAACACAACTGAATGGAAAAGACAACCTATTTTTTATTTTCATAGAAAGTACAAAAATGGACTAAATGGGAATTTTAGGACTAAATACAATATCTGAAATAAATTGCCAGAGGGTTTAATTTATAATGGACATGACAAAAACTCAGTGAGGTTGAAGATAGATTAGTAAAAGAATGGAGATAAAAAAGATTAAAGGGCAGGGTATGGTGGCATACATCTGTAATCCTAACAGCCTGGAGGGGGAGACTGGAAGATTACCAGTTCAAGGCCAGCCTGGGTTACATGCAAAGATCCTGTCTCAAAACTAAAAGGAACTTTATGAGGAACTATTTTGCCAGTGAGATTTTATCATTCATAGCCTTGATCTTATCATCACTTTTGTTACTGACTTATAAGTAATATCATTGTTTGTTATCTAAGTTTCCACTCACACTTTTCCATTATTTTTTAAGAATTGCAAATTATAATTATAGTTATGGATCCACCCTCCACTTTTTGATTCCCTTTTCAAGATTAGCCCAATATAGATATTTGAAAGAAATTGTTGTTAAAATGTACAGTGATTGGTCTGAGGTTTTATGGGACAAAGTCCAGCAGTGCCAGCACCACCCGTGATGGGTTGGAAGTAACATAATCTCAGGCTTGCCTCAGGTAATTCCAGACTTCATTTTACCAAAGTCTCAGGGTAGTTTGTATATACCTTAGCGTTTTGAGACAGTGCTATTCTAGGATATTTTTTTTCAGGTGTCCTGTAAAAGTTATCATAGAACTTATAAATCTCTCATATACAAACCAATACTCTGAAAGCTAAGTTCCAGGTGTTTTTAATACTGCAGGAAATTGACTTTATGAAGTAGGTATAAATTTGGACCCTAATCCTCTCTTTTGTTGTAGAAAACTATTGCTCAAGTCTTAGTTCATCTACACAGAAATGACTATGTGGCTGCAGAAAGGTGTGTGAGGGAGAGTTACAGGTAAGTCACTGATTTGGCTGTGGTGGTGTTTCTGTTTCTTAAGATTTCGATTTAGATAAATGTTTCTGGCCATGAAACTTTTATAAGTCTTCCTTGAGCTAGGGGTACTCAACTACCACTTCAGCTTTTTCAGTAGGAGTTTTACAAGTTGTTTTCTTACCTGTTTCTTTTTTTCTTTTTTATAAATTTTTTTATTAGGATATATTCATTATACAGGGGAGATTCATAGTGACAATTCTGATTAGACTTACATTGGACATTAGTTACCCCATTATCTCTCCCCCTCAACCCCTTCCCCACGCCACTTAAAGCAATTGCAAGAGGGTTTTTTTTTTTTCTATTTCATATAGGTACATGAAGTCTCTTGGGAGTTTCGATGGGAGTAGATGACTTCAGACATTTTCTTATATTTACCTTCTAAGAAATAAGGGGGGGCGGATTCTCAGACTATATGTTGCAAAATCAAAATGAGGTGTTTTCTTGTGGGAAGGAGGTCAGTATTGACACTGTGGCTGGATAATTGTTTGTGGTGGGGGCTGTCCTGTGCACCACAGGGTGTTTAGCAGCACCCCTGGCCTCTACCTACTGAATGCCAGTAGCATCCCTCACACTTGTAACAATCAGAATGTTTGCAGACTTTCTCACACCTCTGCTGGGGACAGAAGCACCCTATGGAGGAGTGTTCTTTTAAGAAAAGGTTGAAGAAGTATATTTGTGCTTATAGCATACCAGGGTTCAATGGCAGTGAAGACTGTGCTGCACTCGAACAGCTCCTTGAGGGGTATGATCAGCAAGACCAAGATCAAGTGTCAGAGGTGTGCAACTCCCCCCTCTTCAAATACATGGACAATGATGTGAGTGGGCCTGTTTGGTTTAGCTTTCTTCTTTTCTCTTGAAAGGCAGAGATGATATTTTCCCTCTGAATTTGTGAGATTTTCTACCTCTATCTTTTACCTCAAGCTATACTCATATACTTAGATAATTTGGATGCTAGCCATGTAAGTTTACAGCCATTTACTTATCCTTCAACTGTGTTGACCATATACTATATATTACATATTTTAAAAATTTAGTCTCAGTTTTCAGTTTCTCTTCCCTCCTCTGTTGTCTTTGGAATGTTTCTTAATTAAGTTGCTTTTAGGTTTCCTGTGTGAAAGAGGCCCATCATGTTGACTTTTGCAGTTCAGTGGGTCTATGGGAATCACACTTGTGTGATACAGGTTATTGGTTGACCTCCTCTAAGCCTTAGGTGACTCATCTGGAAACATGGAGTTCCTGGTGTGTTTTCTGAGCTGTTGGGAGAGCCCTCCAATCCATGAGAGAAACCCCCACATGAGGTGCCTTACCTTACACAGGAGTGAGTTGTGGCTCAGAGGCACTCTAACTTCCCTCTTTCAGTGCATTTGATTGTATAATCTTAGACTCCCATCACAGTATCAGATCAATGTAAGACCTTCAGTTTTCTTGTAGTGATATACGTAGACATAACTATTTCTGGATAGATTCTTTCGTATGTTTTTCTTTTTTTGTTTGTTTTGTTTTTGTTTTTGAGACAGGATCTTGCTATGTAGCCCAGGCTGGCTTCAAACTTGTGATGCTCCTGCCTGTGTCTCCCAGGTGCCAGGATTATAGGCATGAGCCACCACATCCAGTTTCAATTTTTTTGTCAATTTCTATATATTTTTTAAAAATTTGCCCTGGACTTACATTCTCATTGATTCAACAAGCCTTTACTTTACAGGTACTAGAAGTGCTATTAACTCAGTGTATCTACTTTATCTCAAGTTCCCAGTGGGGCACAGATTGATATTTTCAGTTGTGTACCTGTCACATTCCTGGCCATGAGACATTTGATACCAGACCACTGCTGTGCTTTTTTTTCATCTAAATGGTTCATGGGGGAGGAGGGCTGGGCTGTCTTTTTATAGTTGTCTTTTGCTGAGATGTTGTGTGCAGGCATTCTAGTTTTCCAGCTTTAAGAATGTGTTTTATCATTGACAGTATGCTAAGCTGGGCCTGAGCTTGGTAGTTCCAGGAGGGGGAATCAAGAAGAAATCACCAGCAACACCACAGGCCAAACCTGATGGGGTCACCACTGCAGCTGCTGATGAGGAGGAAGATGAATACTCAGGAGGACTGTGCTAGTATTTGCTTGCAGAAGAGAAGAGAGAAAAAGGGGAAATCCTAATATACTATTTTCATGGGCCTGGACCTATTTATGGGTTTCTCTACTTCGTTGAGGATGTAAAGTTAATGCTAATAAAGATTAATTTTTAGTTACCATTTCCTCAAATCAGCCAGGCTATCTACTACCTGTGAAGCATTTTTTCCCCTTTCCATGGCAAGAGCAAGAATTAGCCAAAAACGTACTGTCACATTTTAATACAGTTGATGTAAAAATTTGCAAGCCAAATTTCAGACAATGTTCTAAAAAAAGGGGTAATAGGCATAGATACTCTTCTCCCTTGAGTTCTTATAACTTGCTGTTAGATAATTTTTATTGCATTTATTGTGGCTAAAATGACATTTATTGGTAAAAATAACTATGATTTTAAAAACTTGTCTAATTTTGAAAGGAAATTTATCCCCTATGATATTAGATATATTTAAATTTTTAAGTCTTTTCAGAGACAAGATTGGGACAGAAGCTGTTTTGAGCTTTATAATATTATTTAGCTCAATAAAAGATACATTTAGGCTTTTATATGTGACTTTACAGAATTTTGAAGGTAGCATATTAAAATGATTCTTAAATGTCTTTAGTCCTCTGTGAATTGTAGGTATTTCTTCTATCTTGAAAAACTGTCTCCAAACCTACTTGGCTCTTGACCAAATGGGAGCTAATGAAAAACATATATGCATTCTGAGAAAGTCTATACATACTCATTTCTTCCCTCCAAAGTGATTTCTGATTCATTTAGAGTTGCAGCTAGATTGACTGTAACTTGACATTGGAAATACTGTCTACTACAAAAAGTTAGCTGAAGGGAAGAATTGGTTTTGAAATAAGTTTAAAACTCTTGGTTGCCGGTATTTTCAAACTTCATAGTTATTTCCTAAAATGTTAGTTTCATAGCATTCCTTTTCACCATGTGTGGTGAAAATGTACAGGCCCATCTCATCTGCTAATTGGAAGAGGCTATAAACAGCAGTGTGTACTTTGCAGGCCATGCCAGCCAGAGTGGTTTCCTGTTATTCATGCCCTGCCTCTGTCTCTTTAAGTCACATCTTATTTGAGCACAGTCTGCTTAGTTTTGCTAGACTTCCTGAAAGAACTGGGAAGAGCACCAAAGTGATACTGGTCCCAGTTCTGTGGAAAGCTTAGGCAGAATAGCATCCTCCGACAGGTGTGCTTGAATGAGTGGATGTTACTGTATGATCTTTATTATAGGTCTCATGCAAACACTAATAAATTTTATGTTTTCCCTTAAGTGACTTTCATAGTTCTGCAGGTAGCCAGCTCATTTTCATTAATTGTATTGAGATTATGAACAATCCAAATAAAGCTATATTTAGGCCTTTTTATTTAAAGAGATACTAATGTTTTAAAAACCTCAACAACCAGAAACTGGGGTCTTAATGCTCACTTGCACTAATTAATTATCTGTTTTAAAAGATTTGGCAGTACTCAAAGGCATTTTAAATTACTGGTTTATAGACCTTGTGACTCATTATACCCTTGGGAATCTTTAATTTTATTCTTCTTATATACTGAAAACTTAAAAGAAGAATGGTCCAGTGTGTTCTGGAGCAGAATGCAGCTGAGTTTTAAACAACATGAAGGGTTTTAGGCATTTGCAACCCCCTCATCCTCTCCCTGCCACCTTTAAGGATGAGTATGCAGGACTTGGGATAGTTCTCAATGTCAGGGTTATAGTGTGTGGTGTCTAGTAAAGAGCATTTGTTCCACACCTGTACATTTATTTTTCTACTTGCATAAGTCTCATTCTGAGAGCCTAGTCAGAAGTGGGAAACTTAGTGTTTACAAGAAGAAAACTTGTTTTCCAGAACTCTAGAGTCCTCACTGTACCAAAGTGAAAGTCTGCATGAATATGATCAGAACCTAGTACTCAAATGTTCTGTTATATAGTACATGGCAGCAAAGTACACTTAATATATTGAATTTATTTGTGCATATGCAGAGAATGGGATTTGTGTATGAAATCTGTGCTTTATTCCAGCTCTTTGATGAATAGAATATTAAATGTGTTATTATGGAAATACAAATGATTACTTCTATGGTAGATAATTATGAAAATAAAACCTGAACCTATATAAATGTGATTGTTACTTTTTTTCATTCTGCTTGTTCATTTCTCCTTTTCCAGGGATACATTCTCTTAAGTATATGACTCCAGGTATATGTTATAGGAGCAGTGTTTTCTCAAACTTCAGTTGTATTTTCTGCTGTTTGGAATTAGATACCTTTGGGGAGTCACTTTAAACCAATTGAGCTTTTTTAAATACCAGTAGTTCAGTTACTGTAATGCTGCTGTAATATCTGCTGCCTGATGACATGGAAGACTAATACATCTCACAAAAGAACAGATTTTTCAAGAGAGGTAAAAGCCTGTGATTAGGAGACTGTGGAACTAATGTAAATGGCATTGTTTTACAGTTAGACATAATAAGCACCTAAGTTACTTTCACACTTATAATTAATTAGACAAATATTGATGCTTGCTATGTGATACCACCTCGATTCTCATAGAGTGGAAATTGGTAATATCTTTTGATACCTGGATTTAGAGGAAGTTGGAATAAAGCAGAAATACAGCAAGAGTAGCTTTTGACATAACACAAAATTGTATTTCTTTCAGGACTCTGGAGTATTGTGGGCTGCTTTGCAGTCACTGTGGCATTTATAGCAGTGCTTTGACATGGCTGGAAAGGATGGAAACCCCATCTCCCTCTACACCACCCCATTGTTCTCATCCGTGTAGTACTGGTAAAAGGCTCAATACTGTCTTTATTTGTTGAGTTAAACTTAAGGATGTTAAAGATATCTTGAAAAGGAAAAAATGAGGCAAACATCAGCTTTGAAAAATGAGAGCAAGCCTTCTCACAAATGTGTGTGTGTTTTAATTGCCAGTGACCTTGGTACATAGAACTTACATGGCTTCTAATATTCAAAGATAATAGAATCCCTTACCTAGTTAGCTCCATGTAAAAACTTGATTAATTAAATCCTCAGCTGAATTAAGACTTCAGACATTTACATTACATTTTAAGACTTTTTAAAATATCTAATTCTCCTAAATGTTTCATTGGTTTTTATTTATGCAGTCTTAAAACTTAACCTTCAAAATTTTTGTAAGCATTTAACTTTTGTAAAGCTAACAAAAACTTACATGTGTAGTAAATTGAGCTTTCAGATTTTTAAAAACAATTTAAATTCTCTAATCATGAACATTTAGAATCAAAATCAAAAGGTTAATATGTCAGGTTTTGTTAAATGCTTTAAAAACTTTAAGCAGGCACAGATTATCAAAATGATTATGAAGATTATTTCTACAAGTAGAAAGTGATACCACTGTTACTAAAGTTGACCTACTTTATCAATATGAAATGCTTCTATATCTATCCTGGGTAAGTTGTTAAATTTAGCTAAATAAATGGCACAACCATGTTGGGAGCACTCTGCAGTTCAGAGATGAGGGTGTGTGATAGAACAATAATGTCGCCATTTATAAATCAGCAGCCATTTTACCCTCAGACCTCACTTGAGACAACTCCCAAGGACAAATTCCTGTGCTCTAAGACAGCCCCACCCCTAGAAGAGACTGCCCTGCAAGCACTAGTTTCCTTAACCTTCCTCTTCTATAAAAGCCACGCCTGGCCCAGGTTCGCTGCTGTGTCATCTTCCCCGGCCAGCCTGGCAGTTTGGGCCTGCCATTAAACTTTGCCCTAAGGATGCGAGACTTTTCTCCTGACTTTCTTTGTGAGCGGCATTTTTCCTAATAGTGTGGACCCCGCAGTAGCTGTTTGTAGGATGATTCCCTCATCTTCAGGTGAGTGCACTCAGCCTTCTCTTACTTAGGTTCTTGTGCTGCGTCAGTGTGGGGCAAGAAACCTGCACCTTTCAGCTTGAGAGTTTAATTTCACAATGCAGTGGACCACAGTACCTAAATGTCTCCTGGAGGTAGGTCTATTTGTGGTTTGTAACCTTTCAATATTTTGTAGTTGGATTTGGATGGACAGGAATCACATCTACAACAAAGTTGAAGTTAATATATGTTCCTACTTGATTTGAAGTATCTTTATTGCCAAGTCAGTTTCTGCATCTTTTCATATTTCATGGCTTTTAGGCCATAATTTAGTAGTCCTATTGCTAAACCTGTAATTCAACAGACAACTGTGACTGGCTTCATAAAACTACTATCACTGCAGACAACATAGTGATCTAGATTACAGGGAAGGCAAGACTTGTGAAAAAGTTCACAGTTAGGAAGGGCCATGCTATGCTGCAGTAACAACTCCCAGCCTGGTTCACGTTCTTGGAACAGGTCACCTGAGGATTCTGCTCTTAGGGTAGGACAAAGGAACACTGTGGGTCACAGTGGCAGGGGAATGGGAACCCAAGTAGGTCTCACACCAGCAGCTGCCTGTTCCAGAGTAGACACCTGACACATTCACTCACCTGACCCTAAAGGGGCCAGATCATCGGTTGCCTGTGGCCTTAGAAGGAGAGGACCAGTGCACTAAGTACTGCAAGATCTGCGTGTGTCTTCAAGCGTTTGTGGTCAACTATTACATTGGGTTAACTTTTCTAAGCCCTCATGGGCTTTTACAGTAGCACATACAGGGCAGTTTCATGTGTCATCGTGTGTATCCTTGACAGTTTACTATCCCTATTTTTGGGTGATTAAACAAATCCAGAGGAATTAATTTTCTCTCAGTGTTTTCAGTGTTAAGAAACACTACACTACAGAAACACTACAGGAAGATAGTACTTGTCCTGGCTTCTTGGTTTCCTGTCTTGTATTTGAAATGGAAAACTTCATCAGGCCAGCCTGGAGTTGAAGCTTTCAACTGAATTCTTAAGCAGGAATGAGAGCACTCAATTGTTAACAATGAGAGATGTGGTGCATTCTTGACTGATTTTCAGCTGAGGTGTTTGTGGCTTTCATCCTGGGGGGACCTTTGAGGCCTGCGATATTCCTGCTCTGATACTGAAGCAGCCACGAAGATTAAAAGCAGCACCTGTTGTTCTGATAGGTAGCAATTAGATATAAGCAGTGGCCACAAGAGGAGACAGGGAAATTATATTACTTTAAATAAGTATTTAAAGGGCCA